AATGCTTCCTAAATGTGTTCCTGCTAACTAAATGTGTGATGTAAGATATTTAAAAAGGGATCAAGTTATCAAGTCAAAACCCCTTTGCACTCCTCCTGAAATGCTCATACTCAAGTTCAGTTCCTCAACAAAGTTTTTAAGCTCTAAAGCTCATCTGTCTTTGTTTGCCTTTCTTCCAACAATAATGCTAGTCTAAGAAATACACTACTGTGCTTACCTTGCATGTATTCTTAGACCACTACAAATGAATTCCACTATTTCTAAAGATCATCATTTGTTTCAGATTGTAGCTTTCCCATTTCCTTCCTCAAGTTCTCATTACAAACACATTCATAAAGATGTTGCTGCCACATTCCAGAAGGTGTATGGGAAGAGCTAAGGGAGGGATTTAGAAATGAGAGGACCCACACTTGTAGGACACCACATCTCATTATTATGGCTGCTGATAAAACAATTCCCTTTTCTATATTTTTCCCCCAAAATGCAGCATGCTCCTGAGATCTAATACCCAGTCTGGTTTCTCCTGTGGACACAACTGAACAGTGCTCTCCATCTCAATCAAATAAAGACCAATTTCCCATATCTTGAATGCTTGTTTGCATCACATTATGGTTTATGGAAGGATGACATGCACAAGGCTCTTCTTTTTGGGGGCTAACCTGCCGCGTCTGTGACAGTACACAGAATATTGCATCTGGAATACTGTCAGAATACATCGTGGTAACAAAATAAAAGCTTGTTGTACAAGAGCTGCATACGGAACTGTATATACATGGTGAAAATGATCAAGGGACATATCTTTAGAAAAAAAATCTGACAAGATGTGGTGGAAGTACAAGTAATTACCTTCGGTGCCCCATTACTATCATACGCAACTTGTCTCCGAGGTCTTGCATTTCGTGAATCTGTACAAAAGTTCCCATCTGGTAGATTTCATTCAGATCCTCCACTACATCGGATTCATTACTATTGAGAAACAAACAGAGTAGATATTCACAATCTTGAGAAAACAGGTAAAATATAAAAAAGGAAAAAAAACAATGACTGTTTGCAGAACTTCAAATTGGATTCAGGAGCAAAGACTGTTCGCATTACTTGCAGTCACCACCATGTCCCTTTACAAATCACTCAACTATCTGGATGGTTCATCCCCCTCCCAGACAACAACTGCCCTTCCTATAGCAAGACTCAAGCCCCAGGCAGTGCTGGTGGTGGTAACGGAAACTGTCATAGTAAGAGAATGGTCCAAGCATACATACAAATATCTCTAATACTATCCAAGGCAGGGGATCTCAAATGACAGCCTTTTGTGTAAATGTAGGCTAGTCATGGAATTATTTTATTGTTAAAAAGACCAAGAGAAACAACTTACTTGTCATCCTTTTTAAGGAATACACCAGCATAAGGCTGAGCAAGACGAACTTTCCTCCTCAGTAGCTCCACCAGCTTCTTATTTTTTACCTGGGACAATAAGTGTGAAGTCAGATGTAGATTTTACATAAGCTTTGAACACTCAGTGTGTAAGAACAGGCATGGTGAAACCCTTTGACTGAATTATCAAGTCTAATCTTTGTTCCTTCCAGTCTTGTCTTCATTAAGAGATAGTAATAAAGAAGTGGAAGAATATTAGAGAAACAGGAAAACTGAATATTTAAGACAAAACACTGAGTATATAAAACTAACTTGAAGGCAGGGGAAGAAATCAAGCCTAAACCCTACAAATCTTCTGAGCAAGAAACTTCTCAGTCACTTGAGCAACACTTTGTAAGTATTTCTGTTGCTATCACTTCAACACCTGTGTGTCCCAGCTCTCCACTCCAACTAGGCAGCTAGCCCAACCTTCCCCATCAACCCATCCAGTCTAATTTAAATCCTCATATCCAAAGCCTGTCCCGTTCCTTATCTCCTACAGCCCCACCAGCCTACCCAGGGGCCCTTCCATACTCACGATAGGACCTCACTTTGTCACTAAAGTAATAAATGGTAGCTCAGTGAATTCATGGGATATAAGACAGCATTTAACAACTGTCTGAATGTAAGACCTGACCTGTGCACTGAAATTAATCACTTATATATAGAAGTGTCATATGATTACATGTCTGAAGATCACAATAATACACAAGCTTCTACTCTCCCCAACACAGCTACAAAGCCACTAGAATTTGTTATTATATCAGATTTAGACATGCAAAAAAACCTACAGTAGGAATTACATTAGGATAAATAGCACTACATGAATCGGGAATTATTGGTTCAGTATCTGTTCCATTTCCCCCAAAATCGGTTTGGAAAAATATTATTGGGTGGTACAAATATGAGTGTTTGTTCCAAAACGATTACCTTCCAGGAAAAGAAAATATGTCTGCCTTGTGAGCTCACATCACATATCAAAGATCAAACTTATATTTATTAAAATTAACTATGGGAGTGCAGAGAGGAGGGCTCATGCTCTGAAATTTTGCAATTATCATCCTGCCTCAGCACCCCCTCCCACTTAGCAGCGTTGCTCTACACTGCACTCGAGCCTTCCTCTTGCACCTCACCGATTACTGCCTCCACAAAAATATTTCTCGTGGTGCCTTGACACAAGCCCATGAAGCCAAACCAAGGACACTTTCCCTTAACCTTCAGCAAAGGAGCGAGGACAGCGACCTCTGGAAGAGTTCCCGCGCGATTCCCCCCCAGAAGCAGCATAACGAGCTCTGATGCAATACCTGTGAAACCGTACGGCCGCTACTAGCCCCAAAAAGCAGCGTGTCAGTAAAATTAGACCGCTAAAAACTAACACGGAGAAGCAGAAGGCCCTCGAGCGTGCCACACCGCGCTGCCCTCCCGAGTAATTAACCGGGATTTGTAAATAATAAGGACAAAAAGGCACAAACCGGGAGGGAAGCTCCCGAGCCCGGTGCCTGTGCTCCAGGGGAGCCGCCCCAGGACCCGTCGGGAGCCGCCTGACGGAGCCGGGGCCCGGGCACGGCCCCGAGCTGCAGCCCCGGGTCCCCCCCCCCCCCCGGGCCGCTCACCTCAATGATCTTGATGAAGCGAGGGAAAACCGGGTTGCGCGTCACGGCGATGAGGGGCACGTTGGGGAAATGCTCCGGGACCATCAGCGGCGTCAGCGCCGTCATCACCGGCGCGGCCCCGCCGGGGTCCGCCCCGCCGCCGCCTCCGCCGCCGTCCTCGGCTCCTCCGCCGCCGCCCTCCAGCGCGTCGCCCCCCGCCAGGCCCCCGGGGCTCCACTGGTGCCACCGCGGGGCGGTGCTGAAGGCGGCGCGGGCCGGCGGAGCGGGGCTCGGAGAGGCGGCGGCGGGGCCCGGGGAAGCCGAGGAGGCCGCCAAGAGGCGGCGCCGCGCGGGCCCCAGCAGCGCCGGCCGCCAGCGGCCGCAGAGCCGCAAGCAGCGGGCGGCCGCCATGCTGCCGGCGGGCGCTGCCGCACTTCCGGCCCGCGCCGCCCCGCGCAGGCGCCGGGGGAGCCGCTGGGACTCGCCGAGCGTGGGGCCGGGCACGTCCGCTGCGGGCTGCGGGGGCCTCCCCCCGGGGTCGCGGGTTCGAGTCCCGGCTCGGCCGGGAGCCGGTGTGGAGGGCCACAGAGATGATCCGGGGCCTGGAGCATCTCCCCTGGGAGGAGAGGCTGAGAGGGGATCTGAGCAGTGTCTGGAAAGAGCTGAGGGGTGGCAGACAGAGGGACATGGCCAACCTCTTCTCAGGGCTCTGTGGGGACAGGACAAGGGGCAGTGGCCACCAAATGGAGCCCAGGCAGTTCCGCACCAACACGCCAAAGAACTTCTTCCCGGGGAGGGTGCCGGAGCGCTGGGACAGGCTGCCCAGGGAGGCTGGGGGGGCTCCTCTGGAGATATTCAAGGCCCGTCTGGACGCCTGCCTGGGCAGCCTGCTCTGGGGAACTGCTTGGACAGGGGGGTTGGACCCGATGATCTTTTGAGATCCCTTCCAACCCCTTCAGTTCTGTGCAATTCTGTGGAGAAACCAAATTGCCCTGGGTGAAATGAGGAGAGAAATTAAGGGAATCAGCTGTGATACTGAAAGAGAAAAGTGCACCACAGCACCTCCCCGAGAGGCTTTGGAGGAGTGGGAAGAACGGCCACACAGTCCCTTGCCTTTGCTGTACCTGGGCAGGTCCCTTCCTGCTAGAGAGAGGACCCTGCACAGGCAGTGCCCTGCAGCCCCTTTGGTCAAGGCTCTGTAAGGACTCCAAGTCCTCAGTGGGACAAGACCTCAGTGGTTACCCACCACAGGGTGCCCAGGGCCACGTCCAGATGGTTTTTGGAGATCTCCAAGGAGGGAGGCTCCACAGCCTCTCTGGGCAGCCTGTGGCAGTGCTCCATCACCACACAGCACAGCAGTGCTTGCTGGTGTTCAGACAGAGCCCCCTGTGTTGTGTCTCCTCTGGTTGTGCCCATGGCCTCTCATCCTGGCACTGGGCACTACTGACAAGAGTCTGGCTACATCCCCTTTGCACCCTCCCTTCAGACTTTTACATACATTGATAAGACCCCTTTCCTCCCCAAACCTCCGCTTCTCCAGCCTGAACAGTCCCAGCTCTGAGCCTTTCATCACAGAAGTGCTGCAGTCCCTTCATCACATTTGTGCCCGCTTGTTGGACTCTCTCCAATAGCTCCATCTCTTGTACTGGGGAGTACAGCACTGGACACAGTGCTTCAGGTGTGGCCTCACCAGTGATGAGTAGAGTGGAAGGATCACCTCCCTTGACCTGCTGGCAATGCTCCTCGTAATGCAATCCAGAATACCATTAGCCTCGTTGCCACAAGGTCACATTCCTTGCCCATGTCCAACTTGGTGTCCGCCAGGACCGTTAGGTCCTTTTCTGCCAACTGCTTTCCAAGCTGGTTGGCCTTCAAAATGTACTGGTGTCTCATGTTGTTAAACACATAAAGATGTGTGATGCCTAATGCTAAAAGTAACATTCCTAGCTGTCATGGTTCGGAGGGAAAATATTAGAAAAAAAAAAGAATTGAAAAGCATCGTGGAAAAAATTCCCTTTATTTTTCAAATATGCAATCTTTATTAACACTGAAACTCACAGCATGAAGAGAAAGGCCTTGGAAATTAACATCGTCAAACTGCCAGAATGCTACAAACACGCTATATAGCAGTGATTTCCAGTTATTTCTTTCCTCCTTGGGTATAGTAAAAGGACATGATTTCAGGACAGATCATACGGGCAGATCTGGCTCCTGAGACAGTGTACACATATAACATACTTAATGTGATTCATGGCCTATTGTGTGAAATCCATATTCTTCATCTATTTTCTCTCTTTAAATTAATTTTGAAGAGATGTGTCCTAATCCAAGAGCTCCTCATGTACATATGCATTGAGATAACTCCCTATTTCATCCCAAATATTGCCCATCTGATCATTAGGAATAAATTGCTTGCCAAAAGGAGAAACTTAGATAATTTCTGCAACAAGAAGCTGCTACTGCAGTAAAGAAAAGACTGCATAAAATCACAAATATCTGATAATTTAAAAAGACAGCTGATAAAATGATTTCATATTGTCAGTTACGCAGTTTCAAAGGCTGATTTAGTACAAGGTCAGTGTTTGGGTTTGGAAAGAATACAAACACTTTCATGTCATTGGCTGGGCTCTTAAAAGACTGCCTCTTTGCAAGGTTAGATACATCAGGGACTGGAGTCCTTGGGATATATGCAGGGAATTCAAAGATGAATTGGAGAGTTCTCTCCACATGTTGATAAGTTCTAATTATGTCACCAGCAGGTACAACTCAAAAGCAGCATGCATTGAGCTCCTTCCTGACAAACCTTGCTTTAGAAGACTCATTACGGGAAAGATATGAAATAGCTTCTGCTGTTTTAAGGATAGAATTAATTATGCAAAACAAGTCAGGCATCAAAATTAAGTATGCAACTTCACAGAGTGAGAGTTTAGTATCTTCTTTCTCTTTTGGATTAGCAAAAAAAAGCAGTTAACTCTGTGTATATATGTATGTATTTGTGTACACGCGCCCCTTTCATATATATATATATATAAGCCTATATATATATTTATATCTCTCTCTATATATACACCGATATATATATACCTATACACACAAACACACACACACATATATACATAAACAAATTCCTAACAATACTGTCTGGGTATTGTAAACAGATAGACAATCCCAATCAAAAATTGGTTAACAACATGGGTAAACACCAGAGCTAAAAAATATGATCTGAATACTGAAATTCCCCACAGTAGACTGGTTTGCAGTATTCAAAAATGACTACTTGTTTGTGCTCCGTTAATCTTGTGTGGAAGGTAGGAAATCACAAATGGCCAGCCTTGGAGTGTGCTACTTTGTGGGAACAACTGAGGACATTTTGATGCAATGTGACATGGAGAGCCCCTTTTGTGGTATGTTTACATATCTGCTAACAGCAACTGAAAACAGGTTAGAGTCCTGCTGATTTTTACAGAAGTATCATTAGGATCCTTTCAGATAGCTTTTGAAAATGATCAAGCTAGGAGGACCCTTTGCAATATCTCTAAACCAGAAAGCACGTGCATATATTATAAAGCCAGAAGGGACCCTTACGATCATCTATTTTGACTCTAGGTATAACCCAAGACACAGACTTCCCAGAATTGATTCCTATTTGAGCTAGAGTCCAATCCATCAATCTTTTCTTCCAATTCATCCACCAGTTTGCCCTTTATATACAGGAAGTCTCTTCAGGATTAGAATTCAATGCTTTCTTGAGAAGTTGGACAAATAGTCTGCAAAAAGAAGAAAAGAAGAAAAACTAGATGCAATTCAATATGGACAAATAGAAATTACTATATTCAGGTAACAATAATCAGCAGCACAAACACAGGCTGGGAAATTACTAGCTAGGCAGCAGTTCTGCTTAAAATGATGTAGGAATTAGCATGGATTACCACTGCTATCGGTGCTGTCATGCTGTTGTGAAAAAATCAAGCATTTACTGGATTTTGTAAGCAGGTCTGTTCTTTATGATGGGTTAGACTCATGTCAGCTGAGCTGTGTTAATGGTAAGTTAGTGCTGTCTTAGCCCACTGCAGATACAAGCTAATGCAGTGTATCTTAAAACTCTTTGATTAAGATCCAGTCTTTGGATACAGCCATCTCATCAAAGTTAGAGTCTAACCTCACTAAGATTTAAGATAAGCTGAACAGACTTGAACTTGCTGTAGGTATGCGTCATGGACAGTTACCTTGATCAGCTGAAGCAGAGCATGCTGTTAAACTATGGTAATTTGAGTCTAAGATCTAAATCTTAATGTACGTGAAAGAGTCTTTCCTCAGTGCTTAGCACTAATAAATCTTTAGTTGGATTGTTGTGTCAAATTTTAGTTACTCCACTTTAAGAAAGATGTGAAAGAGTGAGGAAAAAGTCCAGAGGACAGGAATGTGAATGATTATTACCTGTGAGGGTATACTGAAAGAACTGGGTCTGTTTAGTCTAGAAAGGAGAAGAGCAGACATTATAATACCATTCATACAAGATAAAAATGCTGCAAAGAGGAGGATAATAATCTCTTATCCTACTCACTGGGACAGGACAAGAAATAATGTTCTTGCATTGTAACAAGAGAGATTTGTGTCAGAGAAGAAAAAAAAATGCATTGGAATGCTTAACTTGGACATCAGAAGAGCTTAACAAGCAGTTTTTTTTTTTTTTTTGGGGGGGGGGGGGGGAGATTGTATTGGGTCTAGCTCTTGCTGCCTGGGAGCATAGGATGTCCTAGATGACTTCTTGGGATCTTTTTCAGTGCTATTTTCTGTAAGTCCCATAAAGACAGGAAAAAAAATATCCCATGTATGCTAAAAGTCATAGTAACTGCTCTCTATTCCTGGGTACAAACAGCAAGTAATTATGACCAAGAAGATTTGAGCCGTTGGATTTTGTTGTTTTAACATCTCAGACATTCTTGAGTGATGTATTCCTGTTAGTGCTATTTACAGTCCTACACCAAGAATGACTGTCCTAGAAGCTATTCTTATATTTTGAACATTTGTAATCCTTTAATTGAATGTGGAAAATAATAAACACTGCTGTGAACTAAGTGTTCTGGCCTTCTGCTTGACAGGTTTAGTTTTGCCTCAAAAGTTGGACTACAATAGTTTATAAAAATTAGAAAGAAACAAGTGGTAACTTTTCTCATTTTAGACTTAGCAACCTTGATATTGTAGCTACATTTCTAGCTATTATGGGGCAGGTAGCATCCATTTATTTGTTTTACAGCTACAGAAACCAAAACACAGATGTAAAATCATCGGTCAGAGTATGTGAACCAGTTTGGTCCCTGAGGTCCTGGACCCACAGGTGTAGCCAGCCTTCCCTCTGGGATACCTGACCTTGGGCACCCAATGGCAGGTAAAAATAAGAAAATAATGTTAACCAGAGCTCCTTCGGGTTCCTTCTGAGTTTGTCAGACTGATTATTATTATTTTTTTTTTAACTGGTTTTGGATAGGGAAGTGATAATCCAGCCAACTTAAATAGCATAGTTCAGGCATTAAGAGTGAGAAAACCCAAAGTGTAAGATAGAAATATTCTGTCCATGTTACTGTGGCAGAGATGAAGGTGATTAATGCAAAGGTACAGGATAGATTTTGTCATCTGTCCCTGCCTCTGAGCTGAAAAAGTACAAATCTGTACAAGGCAAATGTCCATTTGTAGAAGCCAAGGCCCACACTTGATTATCATCTCAGTTCGATACTTGATGAACAAGGATCTAATTCACATTTACCTCCTCCTTCCTTTTAAACAGAATTTTAATTGTCTAGATGTTATGCACAGGTCAGGTCCCATATGAAAGCCAACACTGATTGAACTGGGACATTTTTTTTGTTCCTGTTACATCTCTGTAACCAAGCAAAACTTAGGAAACAGTTACGACAGCTGCAAATGTCATCTTTTCCTAAGTTCAGCAGCATATTCCACACAATGCCAATTTCTTGGGCCATGTATATTCTAATTAAGAATTTATTATCTTCCACTGTTACCCAGCAGTCTTCCACTATCTCAGTTTAAAAACAAAACAAAACAAAACAAAAATAAATAAATAATAATAAAAAAACAACTGACCATCACCTTTCAGGGACCAAAATACCACTGGGTTATACAGTTGCTCTTAGTTGCTTTTACTGATGACAGTCTCAGGAGAGGAAGGGTGCACTGCACCACACAAAGCATGCAGGAGGTCAAAATCTATACATCTAAGAATGTTTTAGCTGATGGGATAGGAATAATATTTGTGAAGAACAACCAGATACGTAACTGTACAACAGCAGCTTGCCCCTGCTAGCATAGATCTCTTGTCAGAACAAGTAACCTGCCTCCAGTGCTCAGGAAACAGCCTGCTGCTGTGAAGTCTGGGGCCAACTACTACTAAGCAGGACTACAGTACAATTCTTCGGTGTTATTTGTTTTTATCTGAAAGAGATGCATTTGACTGTTTATCTCAGATTCCCGCCTTTATTCCAACCCATAAACATAGAAAACTGTGTTTACCTACAGGCTGTGGAACGTGGCAGCACAAATGTATAACCCTGCAAGTCCTGAAGAACCAAAAGGAGCCTCAGCATCTGGCTTTAGGCACCTCAAGAAATGTGTTCTAGGAAGTTTTTCTTACACTGAGGAGCTAAAGACAGGCAGGCGTGATTGCAGTTGGAAAAGCTGCCTCGAACAGATGGATCTGGGGTCTTCTGTCCTGTGGTCCACTTAGAGGTGCCTGTCAGTGTATGGCAAGGGCTTTTGGATGGAAAGGATCATTCTGGGAAGCCAGGGTAGAGGGGTTCAAGAGATGTACTGAGTCTGGAGTAATGAGCAGACTGGTTGATATCCTCAATCAAGTTTAGATAGCTCAGCTGTGCCAGGAGGCTGTTTGCTGCTGTTTCTGGCCTTTCAGAAGTAGAATAGTTACAATAGAGTAGCCCCAAAACTGTGGAGCCTTTCCATCTTCAAAGTTGGGTCTTAGATACTCATTTTCTGGATGTTCGTGGAGATGACCTGAAGATTATGAAGCAAGTCCTGCTGGTCCTGTTTACTGATGTGAGACATGAGGACTCTGTTCCTCTGTTCCATGGAAGGGGGATAGAGCACAGACAAAGCAGGTCCCTACTTGTTGCTTGGACCTATGAGATGATCCAGATGTCATGTGGGCTTATGCCCATGTGTGAAACAGAAACTGAACTCAATTTGGTAGGAACTGAGACATTTATCCTGATGAAAACTACATTTATAAGTTTGGGGTCTGGCATCTTCTACAAGTGCTGAGAAGCGATTGTGCACTGTCTAGAAAAGATAAAGAGCTGTAGAAAGACCAAGAGATTTTGAAGCACATTCTTGAGCACTGTGATTGAAGGAAAGGTGCTTCTGAAAATAGCCAAAGATGGCTGAACAAACTGTTTCCTTGGAGTTTTATGATGAGGAGTTTTCTGAGAGAAACTGGGGTAGCAGGAAGTCATCCCTGGCATGGAGGCACCATCCAGCTACTCAGGTGGACAGACTGGTCGTGACCTATGCAGTTCCCTTCTGGTTTCAATAAGAGAACAGATTTCTAAAAAGAAACAAAGTTAACTGCTGTTTGGCAGAGCTTTGTAGAGGGGAGAGCTGGTTCAGAGGCTCAATAACAGATCTAATCAATTCTTTAATTGCTGCTTTCACGATCCTTTAGCTGCTGCCATTAATAAAAGGCCGGTATGACCTCTATTTGTACTACCAGCCAGCACAATAAGCCCTGTCTCTGCTGTACGGTGCCACATTCCTTCAGGAGCTTGGCGACATTAATACCTACAGCCAGAAAGGTTGCCAGAGGAGCAAGAAGCCTTCAGGAAGCATTAGTGGTGTTACTGTGCAAACACCAGGACTGTGAGCAAGGAGGACACTGGGTTTACCATAAACACTTGCCAGTGAAGAGTTGAACAGGAGTGCTGGGGCTCTCCAGAGATCTCCAAACGGCCAATGCTAAAAGCTTTACATGCTCAGGGGAAGCCACTGACCAAATAAAGGCTTTGCTACTCTGCAGCTGTTTCCTGCAGGAAGGAGACATCATGGCAATATTCTGGTCCCAGTCCACAGGTGGTGGTGTCACCAACCCACTTTGTCACTTAACTGTGCTCATACTTAAGCTCAGAAATGAGGGAGCTCAGTCCAGCTCATTCACTGAGTCTTACTTACTCAGGTCAAACTCTTGGATCCCGATAAGAATGACTAAATCAGGCTTTTGTGGAACAAAAGTTTCTTTGCAGTTTAATTTTCTCTTCTTTAATGTCAGTTGGAAAGAGATAGGGGAGAAATGGGATCAAGTGGGAGAGGGAGGAGAAAAGTGTAGATCTTTGTAGATCTTTGAAAGTGGATCTTTCTCTGTTCTCCAGAATGTCCTCCAAGACTTCTTTTTCAAGTCTTGGCTTTTTACAGCATTAATTTGCTCTCTGCTGCCTTATTTCACAATGCTGTCTCACTTCTGGGGTGCCAAAGGGTGTCGTTCTGTGGGCAGACCAGGTGGGAAGGCTGCTGTTTCTCCTCTATCACAGAATTACCAAGTTCGCAGTCCTGTGCATCCAGCTCGTGCCGGGAGAGATGCTCCACAATGCCAGCACCCAGAGAATCCCCCAGGACATTGGTGGTCGTTCTAAGGCGGTCTCTGAAAAATCAGGGAGAAAAATGAAATGCAGCTTCTTAGTATCAGCTAAGGGGATAAGAATATTTCAAGAAACACGAAGTTTTCTTCAATGATTTTTTTTTTGACTTTTCAAGTCACTCTAATAATTGGCATTTCAATATTTACAGAGAAATTACTCCCAGAGAGCTGTCCTACATTGCTAGCCTGAGTACAAGCTTCACATTCATTCCTGTTCTGTTGCATTCCCAATATCTCAATGAAAATTTTTGGACTTGCCACAAAATCACAGAATCACAAAATCACAGAACAGACGAGGTTGGAAGGGACCTCTGAAGATCATCTAGTCCAACCCCCTTGCCAAGCAGGATCACCTAGAACACTTTGCACAGGATGGCATCCAGGCGGGTTTTGAATATCTCCAGAGAAGGAGACTCCAAAATCTCTCTGGGCAGCCTGTCCCAGTGCTCTGTCACCCTCACAGTAAAGAAGTGCCCCCTTATATTTGTCTGGATCCTCTTGTGCTTCAGTTTGTGTCTGTTGCCTCTCGTCCTGTCACTGGGCACAACTGAAAAGAGACTGGCTCCATCCTCTTGCACCCTCCCCTCATATAAGTTATATACTTTAATGCGGTCTCCTCTCAGTCTTCTCTTTTCCAGGCTAAACAAGCATAGTTCTTTCAGCCTGTCCTTTTACATCAGGTGCTCCAGTCCTCTAATCATCTTAGTAGCCCTTCTATGTCCCTCTTGTACTGGGGAGCCCAGAACTGGACACAATACTCCCAGAGGAAATGAGGAAAATGAGGAAAAACATTGTTACTGTGGATCCACAGAGATGGATTCCTCTCCAAAGGCCTGCTCAAGCCTTTCTGCAGATTTAGATGAGCCTTGCCACATCCATTATAATTCAGTTGTATTTGTTTTATGAATTCAGAAATTCTAATGCAAACCTATCCCAAAGGACCACCCCCAAAAAAAACCCAAAATATTAGATCATGTGTCTGAGAGCATCGTCCAAATGCATTCTTCAATCTGGTTCCTAAGAACGCTCCTGTGAAATCACTTCTCCCAAGGTTTGAAAGGGGAAGAAAGCAGAAAAGGAGCAATGTAGCTGGCTAGCTGCACCCCTCTATGACCTCCTCAACTTTGTACAGGCCGGTCTTATCCCACCTGCCTTGTTTGGTAGGGCAGAACCAGCATCACTTTGCAGCATGAATTTGCGTATTACTGGCACAACCTGTCCCTATCAGCCTGCAGATTGTTTCTGATAATTATCTTGTTAGATAAACCAAACAAAGGACATTCTGCTTGGTCACCAAGCTGGTCTGTACATGAACTTGGTCACTGAGGTCTATGGTGAAGACTCTAGCATGAACAGAGGCTTACTGTGCAAAGGTCTCATGGATATGGGTGTGTTTCAGGCCTCAGGTTACTGAGTCTGCTTGTAGCAGAGACACTGGGAATGCAGATGAACTCTGTAAACATTGGCAGAAAGCACAGAGAAATGCATGCTGCTGAGCAGAGAACTCACAGAAACCAGTCCACAGCGATGATCAGTGTAATGTCTTCTGTAGGCAGCCCCACTGATGTCAACACTATGACCATGGTCACCAGTCCTGCCTGGGGAATACCTGCGGCTCCAATGCTGGCTGCCGTGGCAGTGATGCTGGAGGGAAGAGGAAAGCACAGCTATCAGCAGAGGGAAGAAAACAGGCAGTCGCATTTGCAGAAGTGTCAGGAAGTATCTCAACGTATTATTTACAAACCATCTGGGCAACCCTTCTGCTCTGGTCACAGAGCAGGATGGTGACATCGACACAACACCCAAGCTTCCCCTGCAGGCACCTACCCATCATGGACTGCACACTGCAGCTCTAAGGGATGGCCCAGACTTGGAAATCCAATAAAGGCTCGAGGGGAGCCTCCAAGATGTGGCACCCAAAACCACATTTACTTATACACCTGGAGGTTTCACCTTCCTTTTCCATATTTTTTTAATCTCATTGTATCTTCTGAGCAAAGGAGGAACTTGAAAGCACCTCAGATAAGCCAACAAATCTGGAATCCCTCCTGTAGCCCCATAACTCTTTAAAAAGTCACCTTATTGTGATGATCTGCCCGAAGTCAAGTTCATAGTTGTTGACTTGTGCAATGAAGATGGCTGCAAGGGCCTCGTACAGAGCAGTGCCATCCATGTTAATTGTAGCTCCCACAGGCAGAACAAACCTCGTGATGCGCCTGTCCACACCATTGTTTTCTTCCAAACACCTGAAGGTGATGGGCAGAGTCGCTGAGCTGAAAGGAATTTACAAAACAACATGAATTGGGTATATGCTGACTGTGGAAGAGGGACTAAGCCTCTGCCTGGTTTATGACCTTACCCACCTGCTTTTTCACCCTGCCATGTGAGCCAGAGGCCAGATGCTGCTAGGAGAAAGAACAGTCTAAGCAAGGGTTCCTCAGATATGCTGCACGCTGCAGTTGCACGTTCAGACATGACTTTCCTCAGGGGCTGGGCAGGGGCTGTGTGGCCCTGAAGCTGGTGAAGCTGGTACAACACCAAAAGAAGGTGATTCTGGGGAATTCTGGGTACATAGGACAGAGCCTCAAGACCAAAACTCCTCTTCCAGCTATTAAAAAACTTGAGTCCTCTCTCTTCCCCAGCTCAGTGCATAAGACAAGAATGACCCAAGTGTGAGAATATATCTTGCAGCAAAAGCAGAGAATTGTTTCTGAAAGAGAACACGAGCAAGAAAAATGCTGTGTGTTTCAGTGTGAAAATGCACGTGGGAGAGACTCTGTGCTTGCCAGGAAATGAATACGTCAAGAAACACCACTTAATAATACAACAGCAACCTACAATCTGTTGCTTTGGTTGTGTGAGTCACCGAACATTTGTTTGTGCCTTTGCCTAGGCTTCCTGTGAGTTTAATGCCAGCTGCACACAGTCTGTGTGCCTGGAAAACAGAAATGTGCAAATGTGTGCAAGTACATGTGTGTGGAGATATGTGCACGGGGAATAATGCTGGAATTGAGGGGTGATTGATTTGTCTTTTGAGCTCGGTATTTCAGTGCTGCAAAAAGAGCCTCCACCGTGCTTGGTGAGGAGGACTGTGGGTCACGCACTGGTGGTTAGAGATGGCAACACAATTAGGGCTCCTGAACAGGGGAGTGGGAATCCTTCCACTCTCAATTGAGTAGTGCTAGAAATGGTGAGACCTCAGCACTGCACTGAGGGCGATGGAAGTGCTGAGAAGCAGCCCCAGAATATCCACACCGTACTTCTCCCCAGGACTATATGGCCATCATACCTTGAGGAGGTGCCCAGGGCTGTGATGAGGGCCTGCAGAAGCCCTGCAATGAATACCCAGGGGTTCCTGTGGGTGACGATAAAGTAGAGCAGCGGCAGGATGCAGAGGGCATGGATGAGGAGTCCAACGATGACAGTGAGCGTGTACATCCCCAGCTGGCCCCCCATCACTGCAAGGTCATCCATCTCCAGGATTTTGCCAGCAATTAAAAACATGATCCCAACTGGGGCATACCTGTGGCAGAAACACAAGGACAATTCTCAGAACTGACATCCACACTTCATACTTGCTTCAATGCATGCTTTCTGGACATATCCTCAATAAGCTGCCACACCAGAAGTGTGCTAGTTAGTGGATGATGCTGCTGGTTTCTTTTCTGGCAATGTGAAAAGATCTTGGACTTGTTTGCTGTGCAGTCAAAAAACAGCACTCGATGCTCTTTTGGGGAACTGCTGTGTGCACACAGCATGTGGTGAAGGTTTCCTCCTCCTTCCAGGTTCCTACACATCTCCTCAACACTTCTTGTAGCACTGCTAGTGGAGGTTATACAGAGGAGTTTGCACAGTCCCTTCCTTTCCTAACAGAGCCTGGGCTGAGGGTGTCCTTTTTACCGAGAGGCACAGAAAGTTACAGAAGTAAAAGGGAAGGAGGGAGCAGAAGCAATATTGTCCTGCATGCTCTGGGATATCAGCCTTGTTATCTTTAGAGGTTCATGTACAGGGAATAGGAACATACAGAAAATCCAGAGCTAGTATAGTTTGGACTGGGCATACCAACACCTGTGAAGGCAGCTGTGGCTTGTATGAAACCTCTTTTTGAGGTGCAGTGGTAATTTTACCTTGCTGGGCAGCTAAACTCTACCACAACCGCTGGGAAAGGGGAAGGAGAGGGGGGGCTCTTGTTATGAAGACGTCTGCCCTCCCAAACAACCACTACACATACTGAGGCCCTGCTTCCCAGGATGTGGCTGAACATTGCTCATTGATGGGAAATAGAGAATAATTTATTTTTGCTCTCTTATGAAGTCTTTTTTTTTTTTCCCCTTTAATTAAATTATCCTTATCTCAACCCATGAGACTTTCTTTTTCTTTGCAGCATACTTTCTCCTCAGAAGAGGAGGGGGAATGAGACAGCGGTTGTGGTGGAGTTAGCTGCCCAGCAAGGTAAAACCCCACAGCTACGCTGCTATCCTTTCCATTCCTTACAGGTTTTTTCCCCCCATAACAATGCATCTCATGAGCAGCAGTGAGGCTGCACAAGAAGGAAGTCATGACACACACATGGAGAATATCATGGGCACTAAACTAAACATGGACAAATAACTGGACTAAAGAAAATCACAGCTCCATGGCCACACCTCTCAGGACTTGGCCTCTACAGCTCGGGAGCTCACATGCAATTCATGCACAAGGCTCAGAGGTCCACATGCCAAACTCCAACTTAGCGTAGGAGGTTTGGAAAAGTTTCAGGAAAGGATTTCACAAATATTTCATTTCCTCTGACCTTTTTCGCAGAAGACACTCTTGGCTGCAGGTTATGACCAGATCTCCCTAGGAAAAAGAAGCTCCTGGGAGATGCTCTGCAGACTGTGGCTTCAGGAAGGAGTGCTGAGCCTCAGGGGATACTCCTGCCTCCTATACCAGCAGGATTTTGTTAAGTCAGGAGATGTCTTCAAACATTACTGTGTATGTGCACAGGCAGCTTCCTAAGTGCAACCAATATCCTATCCATCAACACCCTGCCTTTCTTTGCTGGAAGAGGCAGTTGAAGGCAGTTTGCAATTGTCTCTGGGAGTAGCGTGCAGGTCCACTTGTTCCACTGTGCTCTCCCTTTCTTGCCCTTAGGCAACTCTTATCTCCCCTTAAGAAAGCAAGGCCCCAGATTTTGGCTTGTCCATGGAGAAAAAGATCCCAGAGGGGCTGGAACTCCCCAGGCAGTGAATTTCTCTGCCGTGAGCTCAGGGTTCCCCTTTATTTCTTTTTGTGTAAGACCTGTCCCTCTGTGCCCAGGATGTTTCTCTACAATACAAGACCGTGACTAGAAAACCAGGGAAAGAAAGCTGGAGTGATCAAAAATAGGGGTGAGGATGTGGGGCTAACAGATCATTCCCTGTCAGGCATTTCCTTGTATTCTGCCAGCCCCATATCTTTCCTGTCTCACGGTACCTACCACAAGATCCTATTCAGAGCTTGAGTTTTAGATAGGTAAGGAGCTTCAAATAAGATTTGTTAAAATGCTGTTTTCTAAGACGACTCATTGCAGCAATGCCTTGCTTATCTGAACCACGTAGTACAGTCAGCCTTACACAGGAAGCACCAAACAGCTGAGCTCTAGAGGAGCCGGGGCCTGGGAGACCTCAAACTGAAAGGCAGTAATTTTTAGATGATCTTGCCAACCCAGGTCCACTTTCACAGCTAATGCATACAGGTGTCACCCTGAGTGGCAGGAAACTGGCAGTAGGTTATTGTGACTCAAAGCTAAGTCAGACTCCTGAAACATAGCTGGAAGGAAAGCTTTCTGTGGGAAAGCCTCACACCCTACCCCTGTTGGTAAGGCTAAGAGATCTTCCACTTCAGCTCTCTGGTCTTCCAAGGATGTTTCCAGCAGCCTCAAGGAAAGCAAGTCCTGGTGTACCTGATATTTCTAAGGTAAAAACAAAAAAAACAGGAAATGAAATGTGAACAAATATCCCATCCAGACTTTTCCCTCCAGCCTGATGGAGCCAAAGGAGAGCTGTGCCCATCTGCTTTTCCTGTGCATGTCATCCTTAATGCTACCCCATTTCTCATCAGGTCAGCGGAAACTGCACCTGCAGACCTCCTGCTCCAACCGGCCGTGTTCCTCACCAGATGATAATGGCCACCAGCCTCATGATGGCTTCGTTGAGGCAGTTAAAGAACTCCCGCAGGGCCCGTCCCTTCTGCTTCATGCTGCCGATCACCAAACCGAAGCACATGGAGAACACTACCAGCCCCAGCGCGTTCACCCCATTGGCTGAGCCTGGGATGGGAATGACTTCTTCAAAGGTCAGCACCTCGGAGATGGTCCCCAGGGCATGAGTGACGTTCTCCAGGATGCCAGTGAAGTTCTCAGGCACAGGGAGTGGAGTGGTTGTCACACCTGCTGTGACATTGCTGCTGTGGAGAACGGTTCTGGTGAAGACCCTGGTGCTGTACTGCGTCTTGTACTGAAATGACACAGATTATCAGATGCACTCACAGGCCCTTGTTCAGAAGCTTAGGACAACATGCTAGACTATTGCATTGCTTCCTAAAGAGAGGAGAGTATGGCAAGTTCTTACTGACCTCTGTGGGAAACTTGCCTTGTGTGTTCTCAGTCTCCCTGGCTTAGTGCTTTCATTGAAATGTTCACAGAGCTTAAGGTCAAAAGAGATCACTGGAGCATCTGGAGGACTTCACCTAGATACCATTTACTGACTCGGGTATGGTTGTATATTGCTAAAGCATCCTTTTTGTTAATCTCAATTTAAAAATATTGAGAGACCAAATTCTGTACTGCCCTGGATTGTTTGTTTCACTGTTAAAATCTGCATCGACTTTTCCATATGAACTGTTGCTCTCATTTTACAGTCATTATTACTTCTAATCTCATGCCTCCACCTTGGGCATGAGATCCCTTGATCCCTTTGATATGATTGTTCTCTCCTTTGGATGTATTTATACTCTTGCAAGACAAAGACTCTTTCTTTATTTGATAGACTAAACAGACTGAGTCCCTGAAGTTGTTCACTTATGACCAGTTTTGGTCATACGTTATTTGAACAGTTTTTCTCTGCACTGTAGTTCTTCTCTGTAGCCTTCTAATGTTTAAGAACTTTAAAAGGGAGGTAGTTTATCTGTGTTCAGCATTTCTCTTTGCAATTAGAGATACTAATACAAAATGAACTACTTCCTTCTCTGTTTGGAAATCCTAGGCTCATGTAGGACCATTTAACCATAGAATAAAAGTTCACAGTCACTGATGTTCTCCGCAATATCCCCACACCCTTTTCAGAGACCCTGCTTTCCAGGATATGGTCTCCCTCTCTGTAGGACTCTTCACACTCCTTGTTCCTAGACATGTGATTTTTTTTTTAAGTTGCATTCAATCACAGTTTACCAAGTTTAGCAAAAAAAAACAACAAACACACAGGATTACTTGTTGGACAAATACTTCTAAAATTGCTCTTCCCTCTAATACCAAACACCATGACTGCAGCAACCTGTTACTTACCATCAGGCGAAGGTGTCTATCTTGGAGCACAGCTAGGGAACCCCCAGCTCTGAGGCCCAGATATTCTGGCTCCTCTTTATACTTCTGGAACCCTTTATACTGCTTCCAAGGGCACTAGCACTATGGAAGAGACAAATCCTTGGAGAATCTGTTCCCACTTTACTTCCAGTCCAAATCTGCTAACTGAGGTTACACAAATTCTTCCTAACTTTTAGTGTGGAATGAGATGGAAGCAGGAAACCAGAGTTGCTCTGCTCTATCTACTCCAGGGTTTGAAGCCCCCCATGTACAGACAGCCTAAAAAACTTGCATGAGGGATGCTATAATACAGGCTAATGACTGCAATGCCCCTTCTTGAGCAGTTGGAGTTAGAGAAATTAAAAAGCAGTAAAAAAGCAAACTTTGTTCTCATCCCTCAGAGAAGTAGGCTGGACCATTGCCTACTGAACAGGGCACCAAGAAAGGTGATAGGTTAGATGGGTTTTCATACCTGTTTGAAGCAGGCTTCTACCAGGTTGGGCGGGAACATATTCCTGCAGTAGATAAAACAAGGAAAGAGTTAATTGTCCTGTTTGACTAGCAAGCAAACATGGGCTTTATAGAATGGTCCCAAGACAGACCCCTGAGGGACACCACTTGTCACTGGCCTCCACCTGGACATAGAAACATTGACCACCACTCTCTGGGTGTGACCTTCAAGCCAATTCCTTATCCTCTGAATGGTCCACCTTTTGAATCCATCTCTCTCCAATTTGGAGATGAGGATGTCATGTGGGACCACGTCTCTGGTCTTTGCTTCTTAATATCCTGACAAGCAAAAAGGGAGAGGCTGAGCACCTCAGAGTTAAGCTTACAAAATGGTAAGAATGGATTGACTTTCCCATATGTTTAGGATGAAAATTTCCGTTTTGTTTTTCCATAGAAAATTCTGAAGTTGGGACTTTTCAGTCCATTGCAAAACAACACTTAAAAAATATAACTTTGGAATTTCCCACAGAGCAGGAACACCCAGCTGCCAGTAACATTCCCACACTTTTTTTCACAGACCCTGATCACAGATGCTGCACAACTTGGGGTTCACAAATCTGAAAGAATATAAAAGTATCTGTACTATCCTCTCTTTCTTTATGGTGTTAGCTTTAATAAATAGCATTTAAAATTTTTATTTTACACAGTCTGAGTACCTTTTTTACTGGGATCATTAATAAACCAGCACTACCTGATGCAAAACAGCTGGTTAGCAGAATGGGCCTGATTTGCTCAAGTGTAAACTCAAGCATGGTACAAAGGCTGTAGCTCTGCAGGAAGGTGATAATCCTGTCCTGACTGCGCTAAAAGTAGCAGGCCGGGCAAAACTCAGCCAAAGACCTCTTTCTCTGACAGTGCATTCCAAAAGCTGTGACACTTCAAAAGGACATTCAGTGCAGGAATGTACTCTCACTGATATGGACTCACATGAGACCAGCTTGTTCACCTACCTCACCAAATCCATGAAGGCATCTGTGGTCTGCACTTGCTCAATTCTGCCTTCTCGGTGAAGCTTGTCCTTGGATCCTTTCCCTGGGTGGATGATGATCACCATGAGGATGCCAATGAAGACTGCTATGATTGTGGTCACCATGTAGTAGACCACAGCCCGCATCCCCATCTTCCCTGAGGCTCTGCCATCCAGTGAGGCCATTCCTATGTAGGCAAACAGTCAGACAAGGTGAGAAGGTCTATTATCTTAGAGGTCTATTATCTATCAATCTTATATTATGTTAATATAAAACTTCCTCCTAAAGCTATCAGAAAGGAAATAACATCCAACCCCAGTACATTGGATCTTTAAATTCATAATCACAGAATCACAGAATCACAGAATTTCTAGGTTGGAAGAGACCTCAAGATAATGGTGGGATGTTTCAGGGGTGGAATGTATTGCAACTCTTTACACTGCCTGAAAGTTTGCTGGCTGGGGTATCTTCTGTGAAGACCTGGATGAAACAGGCTCTCCAGCTGGTGATCAACTTCAGTTCTTTGGACTGACACAAATTAACCTCTCCTAGGCTACTGGAAGCCTGAATCAGATTTGGGCAACACACTTTGATGTTTAAGGTTATGTGGAATGAAATCACAGAATCACTGAGTGCTTAACGTTGGAAGGGACCTCTGTTGGTCATCTTGTCTAACCTTTCTGCACAAGCAAGGACACCTAGAGCAGGTAAATCCTTGCTAGTGCTCAAGAGTTGGGCATTGGAAACACCACATTGTGCCTTTCCCAGTCTAATGAGAAAGCAAAAGGTCTTCTGCTGCTCTTTCCCACTACTGAGTCAGCGGGGGTTGAGTGTAAATCATGGTCACTACAGCTGTAGGTTTAGGCTTGTCACTATTAGCCCACCTTATCCCAACACCTGCAGTTGGGACACAAAGGGGTACTCTGACAACTAGCATAGTCTTGGCTGAAAGCACCAGAAAGCTCTGCTCACCTGTAATCAAGCTAGAGACAATGAGAGGAAGAACCAGCATCTGGAGCATACGCATCAGCAGCTCTCCTGGGAAGGAGAAATACTTGATCTGGCGATAGGTCAGCTGGTAGGGCCGAAGGGAAAATGCCAGGATGATCCCTGTGAATCAACAAGGAATGAGAATGGAAATGGAAAAGTGTGATCCAGTGGTCTGTCCCTCAGTCAGTCCTACAATATGGCTTTCCTTTTCCTCTTCTCCTTTCAGCTTCTCCCCTCTGCAAAGGAGTCAATGCTCTTCCTTTTCCAAAAGGTTATGTTCCAATTTTTACTGTATGCTTTCTCTCCCTTTGACATATCTGTATGCACAGGAGCCTTGTGCTGAACCACAGGCGTACCACTCCCTGCTGTATTGTCTGCTGCTCCTCTGGAGTCTGTTCCTAGGAAGCTCATTACCACCAAAGAGATGTGACTGCCCACCTTGTTAGCCCAGGGACCTTGTCCAGCCACCTATTAGAGCTGAGTTCAGCCAGCCTGGATTAGAAGTTAGGGACAATCCACTCTCTGCTTGGCAGCTTTAGTTTGCACAGTATCACAGACCAGTTGTCTGCATCAGTTCCCCCTTTTTGTACTGTGAAACTAAACTTGTAGGATGCTTTTTGGCTTACAAAACACAGCACAGATAAGTGGTTTCAGGAGAACTCTGACAAGCCTGCTGCATGTAGAGTTCAGCTTGAGGCTGGCCAGCTAGCAGCAGTCAAAATGCTGTCCAAATCAGAAGAGCTCTTGCATGCAAGACAACAGCCCTTGCAGAGGGGGAGTGTGAGGGAGTCTTTGCTTCTGGCTGGAGCTTAGGGAGATTCCACAACAGAAACAGTTTGCTGATCTAGCTCTACTAATCCTCACAAAAAAAATCACCCAGGTTTGCTCAGAGGCTTCTTGTGAGTGCAGCTATATACAGAGGGGCTCTCCAGCTTCACTTCCCCAGCTGATTTATTATGATAAAGTAAAACCTTTGTGGGATAAACTTTTCCCCACATTTATATTTGGTGCCCACCACCTGCCCCTAAGCCCACCACCAGCTCCATACCTAATAAGACTGCAGCGATGGTGAAGAGGACGAAGGCATTTCTCCTGAAGAAGCTCTTGGCGCTCTCGGCGGTGATGCTGTGCATCCGTTTCTTGGCCCGTGCTGCCCGCTTCTGCACCGCCTGCCGGAACCTCTGGACCCGTCCCTCAGCACTGAGCCTCTTGGCTGCATCCTCGTTGAGGAACAGGCTGTTGACGTGGCTCTGCTCGCTCATGGCTGGCACGGCCGCTCGATCCCCAGGGCACGGCTCTGCCTGTGCTGGGCAGGGAGGAACACGGGAAAGAAAGCATAAGCTGCAGTACCTGACACCTTGCCTTCATTTTCAAGTCATTTCTCTGGGACCCTGAGCATCCTTATTTAGTGTTGAATAAGGAACTGGCCTCGGTGTGAGGTGTCAAAAGGACCACTGCAGCCTTGTCACAACTGTGGCCAGGTAGGTGCTCTGGTGTCTCTGGAGAAGCTCTGGCTTCTGTAGCACCCACTTGCACCAAGGAGCAGCCCATAGTGGCCTGGGGAGCCAGAAGGGGCTCCACAGCCACTTAAGTTTGTTCTTAGACATTTATCAGTTTGCACAGAAATTAGTTTTTATCATCTGGCAATAAAACCAGTTCCAGTACACAAACTGGCTCCATAAATACTAAGATTGAGATCAAACCCACTCCAAAGGATCAGTTCTGCTCCATTACCTACTGGCCACAAGGCCTGGAGCAGTCTCTTTACTGTTCTTTCTTCATTTTTCACTATTATTCCTATATTCCTCAAACAAAAAGAACAAGGGAGATACACTTGCATATCAATTGAAACTGGAGTGCTAGGAGGCACCAATAATCCAACACTTCTTATCATTTGGAACATTACTGCCTACTATGCATATGCCAGTTCCCTACTGTCACTGTGCCTTGGCAAATATGACCTGAAAATGATTATTTTTTCCAAGAGTTCACAAAGAAAATATGACTAGATGAATCCAAACAACTCTAAAAGCACGAAGTCACCTTAGTACATCAGCAGGTGCTGAGAGAAGTTTCTTTGGAGATGCAAGTCAAATAACAGCCACTCCAGTGGCAATCCTAATTTTAAGTCAAAGAAACCATCACACGTTGGGATTATAGCTCTATACAATACATATCTAGTCTCTGTCATTTGTACCCAGATAAATATCTATAATGAATCAAAGGCATCACCTAAAATAGCCATCATCAGTTCATGGTATGACTTGTTTTATTTGGACTCTTTTTTAAAAAAAAAATACATATATATATATATATAATTTTAATAATGACACTGAATTATTAAATGTTTTCATCTGTAACTGAGTTGATATTGAGAAGCAGATTTTAAAATATGTTTAAGAACCAGGAGATGCAAAAGATGCACTGATTCTGAAAATCCCTCCAGATGTCTCTGCTGCCCTAAAATCTAACCACCTTTAAAAGAAGGCATTAAGTATACAGGCTTTAAGCCACACAAGAATAAAGCTAGGTAATTAATCAATCAATTTTTCTTCCTCAATGCCTGGCCTCACAACTGAACCAAACTCTGAATACAAGGTCTGGAAAAATCACTGTTAACACACGGTGTAAGCTTATTTTTGGATCACTTTTTCAACATTATCGTTTTCTCCTGGGCTAGAAACACAACTGCATGTCAGATGAGATGAAGCAGAGGATGTATGTTTCCTCCTCAGCCCAGGGAAAGGGAGAGAGATACCTTAACCTACTCCCCTAAGGGACAGAGAAAACTGGTGGAAATGCAGGGGAGGTGCAGGGATGGACCTGTACAGCCAGAACTGGTCCCAGTGCCAACGAGGGGAGAGGACTGGTCTGAAGGTCTCAGAGCAGAATTGACTTAAGACAGGCAGATCCAGAAGATGAAAGCTCTAGCAGTACAGAAAGGCCACCACAGCACACAGTGCCCGACTTCTTTGTGGATTACACTTCTACAAGGGCATCACCAGGGCTGGCTGGAGGCAAGGAGATCCCATGTAACAGGCAGCAAGGGAAGGCATGGGGCCCAGCTCGAGACTGGGGGTGTGCAGGGGTCTGGAACCTTCTGGAGCTGACAGACCCCAAGGAGGGGCAGGGCTGGCTATGGCCAGGACTCAGAGTGACAGATATAAAAGTTCTCCAGGGCAGAGGGACTGTGCAGAGTTTGCTTCAACCACGCTGATTTGGTACAAATCAAGCACCCGTCTGCAGAGCTGCAGTGGGAAGGGAGCTTCATTTATAAACTTTTGACTTTCCATTCTGACTTCCCTTTTGCTTCACCTTTCATTAGGAAATTAAGTTTTGTTTTGTGTTGTTCTATTTTGTTTTGAAATGCTCCCTTCCATGACGAGGTAGGCCTAGGCCCAGCCACCTCAAAACTGTTCTGAGCTCCATTCACTGCCACGCTCCATGTCTAAGTAGGTTGGGCTGCGTGGTCAACATAAGCAACCCCTCTCAGGCCCCTCACCCGTACTTAGAAAGATGGACACAGGCAGAGAAAGGGACGGACATCACACATCACCCTAATGGCATTGCATGTGCCTGCCTGCCACTATGGGGCACTGCAAGATCTCCACTCAGCGTGTGCTCACACAGTGACCACCAGAGTTCTCACTTTGCCAGGCATGTTGATCTCCCCTCCTGAAAGAGATGAATGCTTGGCCTGGGATGTCCCACACTGTGGAAGCCAGTGGAAAAAAAAGGAAAAAAAAAAGTTTATTTTTTTTCCTAAATTTCACCCCTGAACAGAAGAGCTCTGATTGCACATTGTCTTTTCCAACAGAGACATGGAGGAAAGCCTCATGTTTGTTACAGAATCACAGAATCATTTAAGTTGGAAGAGACCTCCATACCTAGTTCAACTTCTGACCTAACACTAACCAGTCCTCCACTAAACCATATCACCAAGCTCTACATCTAAATATCTTTTAAATACCTCCAGAGATGGTGACTCAACCACTTTCCTGGGCAGCCCATTCCAATGCCTAACAACCCTTACAGTAAAGAAGTTTTTCTTAATATTCAACCTAAGCCTCCTGTGGAAATCCCCATTCTAATAGAAGAATCATTTACACAGATGCTAATGCCTTCTTGAGGTTCAGAGCAGTAGAGAAACACGCCTGAGGTTGCTGAGCCAAGTCACTCCAAGTCCTCCCAAAACTAAGCTGTGTGAAGGCCACTGGCAAAGACTCTGAGTTTTTGCTGTAGATCCTTGCAGTGCTGCTGTGGGTCACCCAAGCTCTTGGATTTGCAACAGCATTCCACGGATTTTGGACAGAGACCTAATTCTCGCTTCATCACATGTTCACTTCCTCATTACACCACCCCCACTTCTTTTCTGCTGGTGGAGCCAATGTACATCAGACTGGGTGAAAATTTTGCCTGTCTTCCTCCTTTTCACTGTCAGACTGCCTCCTTTTCATGGTTAGGCACAAAATAAGGAAACTCCAAGTAACATATTTCTTCAGTGCATTGAATTTGTGCCTCCTGAACTTCACAGTACATTAAGAAGCTATCTCTGTACCCTAGAAGAGTCTTGTATTATCTAGCTGTCTCCCAGTTACAGATTTAGACAAACAAAACTGTTAACTGTAAGGTTCAAATGAGACAGGGATTTCACACATCTTCTATCCTCCTGTCTTAGCAGTTACTAGTATTACTGTCCCTACATTAGGACACCTCTCAGATCTCACCCTTTGCTATCAGACTCACTGAATAATCCCTTTCCCGAGTTTAACAGGATCAATCTTATCTTCCTTTGTCTGCAGGATTTCCAGAAGCCTGTCCCAGGCCTTACTGCCCTAACAATGAGAAATGTAATTGTTTGCACTGTCAGTGGCTTTTGGGACATAGGATGACTTCTTACAGGCAAATGGCTGACTGCCCAAGGCAAACACTTTCAGAAGGTAAACCACCAAAGAAAGTGCCAAACCCTCCAAGATTTCTTACACCCCAACCGCTGTTCACCAGACAACCAAGCAAAACCTGGTAAGGTAAAGTGCTACCTCACTTTGACATGCAAAGCTCCCATTTCTTCAATGAAGTGAAAACAGTCACATTGACAGCTCTGAAATCATCCATTACAGGCTTGCTAAATGCAAACTAGGCTTCCCATTTGCCATGGTGACCCCAGGAGACCTGCACTAAAACACGGGTGTGGAAATGTAGACTCATCTCTCCTCCAAACTTTTTCTTAGTGTCAGACCATACCACAGCAATGACAAGAATTCCTGTACAGGGAAGATGGGAGCAGAACCCACTTGTATAAAGGGACTCACCTGCTTTTTTCTCCAGATGTCTCCCCATCCACATGTACTGGAAGACAGTATTTTTGTGCAAAGAAAATGAAATTTCAATTTTGATGTGGGAAAATTCAGGATGAGTCACTAGATCCCATGTTCCACCATATGCTCAGCAGCCTTCTCAGAGCAAAGCTTATCTCACAGAAGAAGCTCACCAGAAGAACTCGCTCCTGCGAAGTCCCCACCCTCTCGATGACTAGCTCCTTTCTCCATCTGCATATTTTGCAATACAGCAGCCCTCTCCACAGCACATTCCCTCTGCATTGCCAGCCTGAAATTGTGTAAATATTCTCTATTGCATCAGCTGGAAGTTCTCAGACTGCTGCAGTAAGTCATCAAAATACACTCCTTGCAGATAAACAAGCTGCCAATGGCATGGATTTTCCTTCTTAGGAGGAAAACGGTGGCTTTGATCTCTTGGTAAAGGTTCTCCTATTCATGTCTGCTTTTCCAATCTCCGTTCTGCCAAAAGCATTGAGATATTTGAGAGAGCATTTTTGGAGGTAACTTCAAGACTAGACCAGGAAGGACAGGATGTTTTGTAAGAAAGTTCAGTATTGCAAAACTAATGCCTAGTTCCTGGCAGTGAAGTTTCACATAAACAGTGGAATGTTGGCTGTTTTAGGGAGAGCAATCAGAAGATGGTGAAAGTAAAAAATGGGGAAGTAAGATTTTTGCACTGTATTTTTTGTTATGCTTTTTGCAGAGTTTTGTGTGGTCATCTTCCCATCTGTATGGAGAGAGGATTTCCAGCACAGTAGGATCGGCACAACAGACAGGTTTGTGAAGAGTGCTTAAACCTTTCAAGAGCTGAAAAATAAGGAATCTCTGACTCAACAGAGATGTGTTTTTTCCAGCTTGTGCTGTGTTTGAGGAACATACCTCCCCTCTATGCCTTGTCTTCACTAAAGCTACCAAATCAGAAGAGCTGAAACCATCCAATGTACATCACCTTCCATGGGTATATTTTAAAAACACCAGGTAACAAAATCCTGGCTGAAGGGAAAGCAGAAGTAGCCATTGCACACTCACCAATCTTGGAGAAGATTGTGCTGGGGCAGATTGAAAGGCATTTCAAGAACAAAGCTATTATCAGGCATAGTCAACGTGAGTTCATCAAGGGAAAGACTCGCCTTAGTAATTTGATCTCCTTCTATGATAAGGTCACCCAGTTGGTGGTGGAAGGAAAGGATGCAGATGTAATCTTCCTGGATGTCAGTAAGGCCTTTGATACTGTCCCTCACAGCAGCCTTCTGGACAAGCTGTCTGACTGTGAGATAACCAGGTTCTTGCTACACTGGGTGATGAACTGGCTTGATGGTAGAACTCAAAGGGTTTTAGTGAATGGGGCTACATTTAGCTGGTGACTGCTCACTGGTGGTGCTCCCCAGGGCTCATTTCTAGGGCCAGTCCCATTCAACATGTTAATGAATCATCTGGATGCAGGAGTTGAATGAAAGAGGTAGTTTCACTGGCAGGTTAACAGGGGTAGCCTCAAGGCAGATTTTTATCCCCATGCCACAGACTGCATACTTTTACCTCCAATTTCAGGCTTATCCCTAAATATCACTTTATAGTAAACAGGAGCTAAGGAATGTCAGGATACTATTGTTCTGCAGAAACTGGCTGCTCATGGCTTAGGTAATTTGCTCCATAATGACTCAGAAGGTCAGCTTAATGGTTGGACTTGATGATATTGAAGGTCATTTCTAACCTCAGTGATTCCACAATTCTATGATTCTTTGAAACTCATCTCATTTTCCAAGTGGTATCCTGGTTCTACTCAGATCTCTGACAGGGCGATACAAATCTGCCCTGATGCTACCACCTACTAAGGGTTATTCGCAAATTTATCTAACTTGTGCACAATGGGGAATGCTGGGCACAAGCACAAGTCTGCCCTGCCATCTGAAGTCCTAAGGACAGCAATGAAACAGCCCCACAATACGGACTGAGCTTTCTGCTCTGCGTCCACTGCTCTGCTGCAGCCTGGTGGCTCACAGGGAGAGTCTTGTCCTCAGAAATAGTGGGAACTGGGTAGTTCCAAACTTAGAAACAGAAACTAAGAGAACAAAATATTGCACTCAGCAGAGAAACTTCTTGAAATATCATAAATGTACGCTTTCACTAAAGAATCTTTAATACACACTGGGCCCCATGTCCTTATTCATGCCCTTCACCTGCTTGGCAGCTGTTACACAAAGGCAGTCTGAAGGTGGGGGAGACAGATGCAGGCACAGGAAGACCTATGTTAATCAAGCTTTAGGATCATTTTTTATCAGTCCTGTTCAGACTCTGTCTCACACTTTCCAGTGCAGATTGCTTCTCTTCACTTGAGCAAGACGGTCTTTGTGACCAGGCTGCTAGGACTCAGCCTGGATTTGATTCAGTGAAAATGGATGAAGCAGCCTCTTGACAGGCGAAGAAACCAGGTGATTAAAAAGAGATGTCCTCTCCCCACTCCCCAAACCTTTGCCCAACAGCCAGGGAAACATGCCTGGGTCTCAGCCTTATGTTCTCTACTTGGAGTGTACTTTCATGGAGATGCACAGAAGGTGCTCAGAAGCTGCTGTGTGTGTGCAGTGGTGGTGATGGTCCCTGGGGCACGGTCCCCAGCACTGGCTGGAGCCGTTGCTGGTACATTAGCTGCCTCAACCCAGACACAGGTAGGATACAACTCTGCAGGAAGTGTCTGGGACCTTTCGATGGGACAGGGGAATGGTCTCTTGCCTTCAGGAGGTGTGCACTGGCTGAGGATTTGTATCACCAAGTGAGGGATCTGGATGAAGAGGTCAGCCGACTGTGCAGCATCTGCGGCAATGGAAAAAAGACTGACTGCATATTCTGAGTCACATCTGACAGCAGATACAAGAATGTGAACCCCCAACTGCACCACAGTAGGGGCAAGCAGAGTCTGTGCGTATTAGGTTGAGAAATGAAGACTCCCATAAGGAGTCTGGAAGGCTGGAAGACTGCGACTTCTGGCAACAAGAGGAGAGCTCCTGCTTCACCTGCAGATCTGCAGAGATGGGACAGATATGGCCCTGCTAAGAGAGGAGGGCTGAAGGCTCTGACCAACAAAACTCTGAGCTGCTGGAACCCTGTAGGAGCACCAGGAAGAAGCGGTGAGGGTTAGGAATGGAGACTCCCTTTGAAAGTGACAGAGGCCCCCATCTGTCAAGCTCTGGCATCTAGAGAGGTTTCCTGCCTACCTGGGGCTCAGATCAGGGATGCTGTGGAGAAACTTGTCCAGCCCTTGGGCTCTTGCTCCAAGTGATATGGCCAGAAGATTCTTGGAGCATATGAAGCTTGAACACATGGCTTTGGAGGCACTGGTCAAGGGCATGGTATGGTGGCCCAGGCGTTGTCTTCACTGATCCTGCTTGTGAGAGGGACTTGTGGAGGACTGAATGGATCCTGCGGGTGAACAGCTGGTATAAATAACAGGTTTTTGGCTTTTATGGCCATGGAGACATTCTGTGGATGCCTCATCCCTGGAAGTGTTCAAGGCGAGGTTAGACAGGGCTTTGGGCAACCTGTGCTGGTGTGAGGTGTTGTTGCCTGTGGCAGGGGGGTTGGAACTGGATGGTCTTTAACATCTGTTCCAACCCAAACCATTCTATGATTCTAAGGCAAAATGATGCAGGAAGTTCTCACAATTTTCTAGGAAAAAGAGCACAGATGTGTGCCCCTCTGAGGTGCAAGTATGCTAGTGAGCACAACAGCATGGCAAACCAAAAGGAGAAATTAAGAGATCCACATAAAGTAACAAGGCTGCAGTCTCGTTGAACTCATAGAGATGTGGTGGCACAGCTCACCTAGCAGAAGAGCTGGAGAAGACAAGTATAGGCTCCTTGACAAGAATAGGCCAGGAGGGGGAGGAGGTGAACAAAGCATAAAGTTGTGGACACTGAAGTACAAAGAAATTCTACTTATGCATAAGAAAAGAGCTGTGTTTTTTTTTGTTTTGTTTTGTTTTGTTTTGTTTTTACTCTTTAAGGTTGAGCTCTGGAGCAGGTTGCCCAGAGAGGCTGTGGGGTCTCCATCCTTGGAGATACTCAAAAACAGACTGGGCATGGTTCTGAGTAATGGTCCTGAGCAACCAGTTGTGGCTGACACTGCTTTGAGGAAGAATGTTGATGAGATGATCTCCAGAGGTCCTTGCCAATCTCAGCCATTCTGTGGTCCTTCCATGTCCTGCTGAAACACTGCGTGACAAGGCTTTGCAGGCCTCTCACACAGCACTGACACAAGCCCATCCCCAGTTGTGTCCTGGAACTGATTTATACGTCTAATTGGCACAGGGCTATGGTCTGGTTTCCCTCTCTTCTTCTCTCACCCTCTAACCCCTGCACAGCACTCTTTCACCACACTGAAAAATAAACAAGAAAACGCTGCTTCAGGGAAATGACCAAGTGCCATTCGTTGCAGACAGATTTTGAGGACCCCAGGGGTGTCTCAGCAGAGGGGGAACCATCAGTCAAGTGCAATCCTCTGTGAGATACTCCTCTGGGACAAGGAAGTTCCTGGACACTGGCAGGATGTGGTATTACAGGGCACTCTTGCCATGGTGTTTGGTGTTGGAGAAGGTAAATGCAAAGTTAAAGTGAAGACTTTCTGCATTTTTGTCTTGCCCTTTGTCCTCCTGTGTGTCAGAGCATCAGCACTCAGCCCGTCCCCTGCTCCCTCTGCCCAAGTACTGCAGACATGTCAGCCAGATAGCACAAACCCAGCCCCAGTGCAAAGCAAAAACCTGTGTGGCCAGCACAGCAGAGGAGAGCACTGGTGTCTCCTGGTGGACTCAAGCTCTGGGCTGGAAGAAACACTCTTGTCACACCTTGGGACAAATGGATAGGAGATAAGGACTTAAATGCTAGCGCTTTATGTTGTTGTCCCACTATTGCTAAAGTCTGTGTAGAAAAATACACAAAGGGTTAATCTAATTAGTCAGTTGTACTCTGGGGACTGACAGAAATCAGCCAAATTAGAACTGCCCATCAAAAAGTCTCTCTCCAGTTTACCAGCCTCCAGGGACTGGAGTGGCAACAGAATCCCAATGCTGTGGTGTTCGGTACAGCGTGTGCTGTCACACCAGTGCCACGAGCACTGGCCCAGTGCTTAGGCAAGCCTTGCTGTAAAGACAGCACTGGAAAAGGAAGTCAGTGGCTGGTGCCCCCCTGAAGAGTGGCTGCCCCAGGCTCCCTCTTTCTAACACAACTCTTTACTTTTTCCCTTTTTTCTTTCTTTTCTTTACTTTTTCCCTTTTCTTTTCTTTCCTTTCCTTTTCTTTTCCTTTTCTCTCTCTCTCTCTCTTTTTTTTTTTTTTTTTTCCATTGCTGAAAGCCAGCCAGGAACTGTGAAATAATCAGCACTTTTGAGCCCACTGTTTCTCTTGTCTCCAAGGAAACTCTGCTATTATGTTTAATATCAAAATGAGTAGGATTTTCAAGGAGGGAGTCTCCACAAGGAGCAGCAGGGAAGCATGCTAAGGGGGAGAAGAAGGAGAAGGAGGAGAGAGGGTCCATG